ACACACACACACACGCACACACACACTCACACTCACAGACACATACACACATATACACACAGACACACACACAGACGCACACACATACACATGCACACACACACACACACATACACATGCACGCACACAGACAAACACACGCACACACGCTCACCCAGTGATTTCTCCAGTCCAGGGAGGGAGGAGGAGAGGAAGAGAGAGGGATGGGGAGGGGGAAAAGGAGGAAGGGGGAGCGGGAGAGGGAGAGAGGTCCCAGGAAGGAGAGATGCGGGGACTCGTGCCCTCTGCGGGGAGGAGTCTGCACCCAGCATGGCCCTTGCCCAGGACCAGCGCCCAGGACTCTGTGGCCGGAGGGCGGCGCTCTAGTCTCTGAGCGTCCCCGGCCAGGGCAGCAGCCTCTGTGTCAGGGGACCGTCCCCCAGGCTCTCTGATCATCAGACTGTCAGCCGTGGCCCCGGGTGGGGGGGTCAGATGGTGGGGCGCCACCCCTCCCCCCACAGTGCGCAGGCTTCCAGACAGGCTCCCCCAGAAGCAGCTCCCACCCATCAGGGGGCAGGAGGCCAGAGGGAGAGGCGTCTCTCTCCCTCAGTCTCTCTCTCCTGCCCTCTCTCTAAAGAGTCAGCCCCTCCCTTCCCGCCCAGCTCAGTGCCTGCCCCTCAGAGCCTGGCTGTGGGCACAGGGCGGCCCTGGGAGGCTCTGCCCTCACACACCCGCCTGGCTCAGCCCTCACCTCCTCAGGCCGCACATGCCCTCAGGGTGCCCCCTCACCACCTGCTGACAGTGCGCCTCTTCCTCCACTTTGCAGTCATTAGTTAAATATATTAATTAAAATGTGCTCCATTTCTTCTCTCACTTCCACTCACTGTGCAGGTTTTTGGGTTTTGTTTTTCCAAAGATGAATCCACACTATCCCCGCCCACTTGTTCTTCTGTGATGGGTCCTCCCACCCCTCCCACAGGTGGGCCTCCCTCCCCTGGGACCTGGGACCAGCTCTGGGAACCAGAACAGGACAGAGGTGACAGAGCCTGACTTCTGTGGTTCTGACATGACAGGCCTGTGGGTCTGACATGAGGGGCATGTGGGTGTGACATGAGGGGCCTGTGGGTCTGACCTGTGACCTTGGCCCACGCCCCCTGGAGCCAGGGGCCCAGCTTGGAGCAGCACCCACCTCACAGCCCAGAGACCTCCCAGCCAGCAGCCAGCACTAGCTGCTGCCCAGTCAGGGACCCTCTAGAATGTTCTGGTCTGGCTGGACCTCCAATGACCCCGCCCCAGCCTGTGTCACATGGAGCAGAAGAGGGGCCACTGAGCGCAGTCAGCCCGCAGAACAGGAGGAGTCAAGGCTGTGACTGTGGGATTGTGGTTTCTGGCCACAGATGCTGAGAGCACAGCCCATGTGAGTCCCTGCTGTGTGCATTCTCATTATTCCCTGTCCTTCCTGTCACACTGTGCGCATCAGGAGAGCTCGGGTTTTCAGTTATGTCTTTGCTTTAGAGATGTTGAGAGAGAGAGGACGGGAGAGGGAGAGGGAGATAGAAACATGGATTGGTTGCTTTTGCAGGCCTCCTACTGGGGCTCAAGCCAGAAACCATGGTATGTGCCCTAATGAGGAATGGAACCTGGGACCACCTGGGGCATGGCACCCCCTCACCCATGAGCACACCGGCCAGGCTGGAGAGAGGGTGTTCTGTCTGTTTCCATTACACAAGCAGTAGGCCAACAGGAAGCCTGGTGCAGAGGCCTCACTACATATTAGGGATGGATGGATTGGTAGATGTGTGGATGGATGGATGGGTGGATGGATGGGTGGATGGATGGATGTATGGATTGATAGATGGGTGGGTGGATGGATGGATGGATAGCTGGGTGGGTGGGTGGATAGATGAATGTGTGGATGGATGGATGGATAGATGGGTAGATGGATGGATGAATGGATGGATGGATGGATGGATGGATGGATGGATGGATGGATGGATGGATGGATGGATGGATGGATGGATGGATGGATGGATGGATGGATGGATGGATGGATGGATGGATGGATGGATGGATGGATGGATGGATGGATGGATGGATGGATGGATGGATGGATGGATGGATGGATGGATGGATGGATGGATGGATGGATGGATGGATGGATGGATGGATGGATGGATGGATGGATGGATGGATGGATGGATGGATGGATGGATGGATGGATGGATGGATGGATGGATGGATGGATGGATGGATGGATGGATGGATGGATGGATGGATGGATGGATGGATTGGGTGGGTGGATGGATGGATGCTAGGAACAGTTCCTTACAGCTGACCTGAGACAGGATGGAACATGGACTGTCTGCATGGAGAGTCCGGGATGTCTCTGAAGAGGAGCAACTTTACCCCCAATCCAATATCTACCAGCCACTGTGGGGTTATTGGTAATTTGGCAATTAACCAGATGGTTTGATGAGCAGCTGAACAAGAGGCAGGAAAAGGTGCCTGTGCTCCCTGTGGGCGGGTCTAAGTTCCGAGTCAAAGCTGTTCTCTGGGGTGAACTGAAACCCACGGCTGCATCACATTCCTCTCCCTCCATTCATTGCACAGTCACACACCATTCCCAAGTGGGCACCATCCTCAGGGCTCCCCTGGCCCCAAGGTCAGGCTGACACCAGGATGGGCACAGGCTGAGCATCTGCACTGGGGCAGGAGGCTGGTCTCTCTCCTGAGGGAAATGCCACGGTCCTTCCTACGGGGGCCCCAGGGATGTTAAGCATGGAGACTGTCCCAGGTGAGCTGTGCTAACCCGCTCAGAATCCTGGGAGTCCCTAATGTCCACACGACCCCACAGGAGACCATGATGTGCTTACTTAGTCACCCACACAGTCCTGCTCTTTGTCCCTCACTAGACGGTCACTAGCTCTCCTCCTCCTCCTCCTCCTCCTCCTCCTATTTCTCTTTTTTGAGGATCTACTCACAAAGAATTATTCCGGACACACAGACAGGATTTAGGGGAGAGTAATAATTAGGACAGGAAGAGATACCCACAACATTCTTTAAAATAGAGAAATGAACTAGGACACATGGGAAATTGGGTGAAATAACAAAGAGAAAATTTACATAATAGATGAGAAGCCGAAGGAGCACACCCAGAGCGAGAGGGAGACAAATGCTAAGTGCACAGTGGATTTTCCCAGGGTGAAGGTGGGGTCAACAACACCCACAGAACATTCCAGCACCCCAGCCGGCCCTCTTCATGTCTTATTTGGTCATAGACTTCCCCCATACCAACTCACCATGACCTTGGTTTCTACACCGCAGGTGAGTAATGTCAGCTTTTGAGAGAACGAAATGTTACAGTGGCAGCCTCTCTGCACCTGCTCTCTCTCCACATCAGGTCCCATCCTTGTCCCACTGGCTCTTGTGGTTGTAATGTATTCACTCTCAGGGCTAGGAGGGTTCTAGACTATGAACATACCACACTCTTTCTCCGCTACTGCTCATGTGCATTTGTCTTACATGCATATTTTGCAAACTGTGCAGCTATGAATAAATTCTTCATATGTTTTGCACACATATGTATGTGTGTCTATTGGGGATATAACCAGGAGTGGAAATGCTGGGGTGTTGGGTGAGCAAATGCTTGGGTAGTGAGGGCAGCCAAACCATTTTCAAAGTATTTGAAAACACTTACTCTCCCACTAGGAATATATGAGAGATACAATGAGTCCAACTTCGTGCTAACAATTAACTTTGTCTGACTCTTTCAATTTTACTATCCTGTGAGGTGGGCACCAATATCACATTGTGGCTGAACTTGAGTTTCCCCTCTGACTAAAACTGTTGGGCAATTTTCATAAATGTATGGACCATGTAACCATCCTCAATAGGAGGATGGACTGGATTCTTGTTCATGAGTGAGTGAGACTCTAGTAAGGTTCCAGCATCCTTAACTAGTGGGACACTTTGGCTATTAATGGATCTGTGGGCAGAGACCTGTGGGGTAAGAGAAAGTGCTCTTTGCTCCTGGTGCCTGGCACTGAGCTCCTAAAAGCCTGGGCATCTCCTGAGTGACAAGTGTCTTTGGGACGCTGATGAGATGGCCCTTGGCTGAGGGTCCTGGAGGCTTCAGGGTTGGGGCTGGTCCCCAGAAAGACCAAGCTGATCAGAGGATTGGAAGGTTCAGGCCCTAGAAGGAGGCAAGAGCAGGAGGAGCCTGAAAATGCATCTCTCCACACCAGAGTCCTGTGTGCAGGGACACCTGGGCCTGCGGGACAATGAGGGGTAACATGTACCCTTTTGCTTTCAGATGGGGGACACCCAGATAATGAGACCATAACTCACACATGAATATAATAACAGGCATAATATCTACAAAAGCAAAGAAGCAACAAACACTCAGAGGATGGGTGCTGGGGGCAGGTTCCTGGCTTGACCCAGGCTGACCTGCCCCAGGAAGGCGTCGCTGTCCAGGGTCCTGGAGATGCGCTGCATTAGGACATGTGACAAGGCCTGGGGGATGTGTGTCCCTGTGACCACAGGTCCCGGTGGGACAAGGTTCTACTGAGGGACAAGGTCAGAGGAGCAGAGAGGTGACCCGGCTGAGGAGTGACCATGTCAAAGCCCAGGATGCACTGAGCACCACCTGGGCACAGGCCCCGACCACGCCCCGTCCTCAGAGCCTTTCCTGTCCCCACTGGGGACAATGTTCTGCACAGCAAACACATGAGCTCTGGAAAGTTCTTCATGTTTATTTCCCCTCAAAATTAGAATCTTCTCTTTTAATTTACCCACCAACCCTTTATGGCAAGAAATGAACAAACAAAGTCACATCCAGAACCTCATTTCAATACGGAGCAGGAAGGTGCAGCTCAGAGCACCAGAGAGTAAAGGCAGGGATGGGGAGGGCCCAGCCCGCCTCTGCTGACAGGAAAGTATGGGAAGCAGGGCTGAGCCAGCCCCCCAATCAGAGGTTCCTGAGTCAGGAACTGGTGTGGGGAAGCTCGGAACGTGGTTGGAATGTCTATAAGGAGGATTCTGCGACAGGTGGGGGCCTCTGAGGGGACTTGCCTAAGGCGGCAGCCCCTTTTGTGACTTGTTGAAACAAGTCATTCCCACGGGGTGTTCTGCTAGAATCTCTGCTCAGTGTTTTAGACCCGACCTTGTAGAAGCAGGTGCTTTCTCAAGGATGCGTACCCTGCAGATGGTATCCGGAGATTAATTTTAGTTCAAGCGGTTATGACAATAAAAGCCAAAGGAGGCAGGTGAACAGGGCTACTTGGCAGTGATAGCCAAGTAGTGCCTTAGCCTCCCTTTCACAGAAAGTGTGTGAGAGCCATCATTCATCCATCGCTCAGGGTCTGCCAGTCACCCCAGCAAAGTAGGAGTGTGAACACATCTTCCATCACTCAGACCCCACAAGGCAGCAGCCTCACGCTGTGGAGGACAATCATCATGAACAGATTCAGGTCAGTGGCTGTAACTGGTGACATTTTCAGAGTCCACTTCATGCTCACAGTGTCCCACAGACTCCCCACCACCCAGTCCTCCCATCTGCCCACCCCTCCCCACGGCAGGGTCTCCCCTTTAGGAGGTGAGAGAGACACATCAGAGTAACCCTGGGCGCTGTCAGTGCCTGGGGGGGACACACCAGGACAGGGTCAGAGCCCCAGGGCAGGAGACTAAGGAGAAACTATGGGTGTGGGGTCCCACCATGGCTCCCATCTGGACTGACACAAGGTCTCAGGGGTCACCCCTCCATACTCACTGGCAGCCTGAGCATAGCTCCCTCCACTTCCACCTGCGGGAAGAAAACATCCTGTGAGAGACCTGGGAGGAGGCATGGCCATGAGGTCCTAAAGGAAGCCCTAGTCCTGGGCCCGAGTGAAGTTTACAGAACCATGTGTATAGATCCAGGGCAAGATCAGGAAACCTGAGAAAGTGCATGTGTGGGGACTGGACCCTTCACCCTCCTGGAGATCTGTGCTCAGCAGGGACCTGCCCTCTGACCTGGGACTGCTGAGAACGGGGTCCCCACCACCAGCATCATCAGGTGATAAGTGGGTCCCTCATTTTACCACGGGCCTCACTACAGAGTAAGTGTGAGCACAGAGCCCCACACTGGCCAGCACACGGGTGGGGATGGTGCTTCCCGTAAATAAGGCAGGACACACATCTACCTGGGCTTGAACCCCCAGTGAGACAAGATGCTAAGACACCAACCCTGCTCACCAGAGCGCCTCCTTCCCCACATCACAGCTCCAGCCACAGCTCCCAGCAGAACCAGGCCCCCAGCGATGCCCATGATGATGATGATGAAGATGAAGGTGGGAGAAGGCAGCTCTGGGAAGAGAAGGGAAGGGAGGGTGAGGGCCCTGAACTCAGGCTTCACCCAGACCCCACTGAGGTCCCCCAGGGCCCCTGTTGCCCTGAGAAGAGGC